AGGGGGCAGATGTCACTAGTATTGTTCACTATATTTTAGGAATATAAACTGTAATCATTTTCCCAAAGACATTTTCTGCTGTCTTCAAAGCATCTCAGGGAACTAGCAGGTTAATGATTCCCAATACTGTCTCTAGAAAGCAAAGGCCTCTGTTCCTGTTTACATTCTTGCTCTCTTGTATCTTCTGATGATACTTTGGTCCCTGGTCCTCCCTCCTTTCATCTTGACTGCAAGGACTGATCTGTGTATTCCTCCAGTTTAGTCTGGCAAAAATAAAGAAAATGAAAGAGGAAAGGAAGTTGATTTAGGCTTTAACTAAAAGCTTTCTGACAACACTACTATGTCATATATGGGGCTGTATACATAGCTGTTGTGGTGGAAGCTCTGAAATTCTTGTCTTATTTCGAGCTTATATGTGTTGCTTTTCTAGGCACTCAAATGTTTGGCCATGTCTTTAATTTCTTTTGTGTTTTCTAAGTCTTTTGGGTATGTAAATAAATTCTCATATGATATCATTGTATCTGTAAGCAATTCTCCTAAGACTTTGTAGTGGTCCCTTTTCTAAAACCCCTACAAACTCTGTTTTCAGTAGGGGTCATATCTACAGAAGCCTAAGATAAAGGCAGGGTTACAGAAAGCACTTCTGCATGGTCTCTCCCTTCTGTTAGCAGGAGAAGGTGATGCTGTGAGCTGTGTCTTGTGAACTGTTGGCATCTTGTTTGAACCAGTTGTCAAATCATTCCAGTGCATAAATCCAATCTTCCAGGTCAGATTACTTATGGGATAAAGCACTGTCACATAATAACCATGTGCTCTGAGACAAGAATGGCCTTACACAAGGTCCTTTATACACTGTAACAAGAGAAGGGATTGTTTCTGTGTCTGAACTCAAGCATGAAATAGACTTGGTTTAAGAAGTTATCAAGTATCAAGCAGTTTCTGGAGTTTAAATTTTGAAAAAACTGAAAAACGGTGGTAAAAAATGAGATTTGTTAAAATTGTCCATCAACTATAGACAAGTTGCCCTGAGCATATCACCCAGAAGAAACCTCTCCCACTACTGAGTGACTTGTCTGCACCTCCTTGCCTGGCATCCAACAGTTCCTTGTTTGGGGTCATTACTTAGTGTCTACCAAACCAAAGCAATATTGTAAGAGTGGGGAAATGGCGGTGTTTGAGGTGCATAGAAAGTTAGTTTGAAAACCCCACAAAGGGTGTTGAATTCCAGGCAAGAACTTAATGGGTTTTGGGTTGACTTATGGGAGAAACTACAGAAGTATCAGATGGATGGTGTGGTGAAGAAGAAACAATGTACTTACATATATATCAGTGCACCCAAAAATGTAAAGTTGAAAATGGAAAACATTTATTATTTATTTTGCGGTTGCCCAATTAAAATTCACCACTACACAAAATGGGGGCCATATGTCCTTTATCATTTCATATCGCTATCTCTCAGTAACACACAGCAAGTGCTCAATACATTTGTCAAACAACTGCATAAATAAACAGGAAATATGCACAGAAATAACAGTGCCTAACAGTGCTGTGAGGATAAAACAGCACTTGTTGTTTCTTGTTGGGAAAAAACGTCCCACAGTATGAATCCATGAGAGTGGCCCTTGATCCAATGCTTGGACACACAATTCATTATGTAGAGGCACACATTCAAAGGGTAGATTAAAGGAAGACAGAGAAAAGGTAAAATTTTTCCTTCATGCATACAATTTTATTGTACATAGTAATATAAAAATAAAATAAGAAGCAGTTTAAACAACCACTTGCCAGACATATCTTGCTGAATGTTCCAACAATACCTTAGACTTAACTGTGGAACCCAGCCAGCATCATCCAAGTACACTTCTTTCCCTAACCTGCTCTGCTTGCCCTCTTCTCTGCTATTGGGTTTATTTTCCATGGTGTCACCATTATCTCAGCTCCACTTAAATCATGGCAGTATCCTCCCCCATTGCACTTCATGTATCCTTTCATTTCCCCTGCCTTATGTGTAGGGCTCAGAACTGACTTTTAGGTCTGCAGTACTTGTATGTGGTTACTGCCTCTTCTCTCACCATCTTGTATGACAGTCATGCTTGAACACATTATATTGTTACCTAAAACATACATATTCTTTCTCAGTTATAAGTATTGGAGATTAGGATCTGTTTTTTACACAGTGTGCACCCCTATCCTTTTGCTCATAAAAGGGACATTCAAAAATACCCATTGAGTACCTACTAATTGCCCAAAGCATCTGAATCTGATTTCCTACACAGCTCTAATATGTTCTCATTCTAGCAAATACACAAGGGAAATGAAATGCGGGATTCCTATAGAAAATGCACAGGATTATCTACAAGAGGACAAAAGAGAAGGCTTTACATTGGAAGGGAAGAAATTCTCTATAGAAGTAGGAGGGAAGGAACCAAATGCTGTTGGTATGTAAAATAAATAAAAATATGGAAAAATTTAAAAAGCTGATGACTCGGGGGATTTTAGAAGAAGACCAAGTAGAAGATTATTAAATAACATCCCAGGTAAGAATATGCCATCGTGGGAAAATGTTAGCAGTTATACAGAAAAGGTATCAAATATATAAAAGGTAACTTCATGCTTTGGGAGAATGGTCACTGAGTCCGCATCCACTCTGCCCCCCCAAGCAAGAGGAGGATGAGGGGAAAGAGGAGGAGAAGGAGAAGGAGAGGAGAAGATGAGGGAGGAGAAGAACTGAAGAAAGATGAGGAAGACAGTGATTTTATTCATCAAATTCACAGGATTTGGTTATTAATGGATTTCATGTTAGGGATGGTAAAGAACTGAGGATTCCTTTCCAATTTTCTGGGCGAACTGGCTTTTTCACCCCTAAAGATTAGCTAGAGGAACAGTTCTGTAAGGGTGAGATCACTGGAGAGCCACACTAAGGGCTGAGTTGTCAAACAGACAGCACTTTGTACAAGCCTGGAGCTTAGGAAGGTCCAGGCTGGAGACATGAACTGAAGACTTGTGATATTAGGTGTTTTTGAAAGAACATGGATCATTCCCCTGAGAAGAAAGGGGGTAGGGTGGGTGGGTAAAAGCCCCTTAGTTAAGCCTGGGGACTCTTCAGCATTTGTCTTAGAAGAAAAAGAGCCAGCAAATGATTTTGGCACTGGGGTGGGGGTGGGAGGGATTTGTTGACTCTTTAAACACAAACACAGCTTGGAAGAGTGGGGTGGGTCACAGGCTCTCACCCATTCCCTACTGGGTCTATGAAAGTTTGGCCTGGATGATATGAGCCTGAGGAGACTGGAATAGGGCTCCACTGGGATGGGTCTCATCTATACCTAGAGGGAATCCCTCATTTTTGCTAGCTTAAGGTTTGCCAGGTGTGGCCTGTTGGAGCAGAGGTCCCATACAGCAGTGAGTAACCCTCACTTAAGCTGTGTAAAAAAATCTTACTGGTTCCTGTGCTAGGTAGTTTTAGGTCAACTTGAAACAAGCTGGAGTCTTGTGAGAGAAAAGAATCTCAATTGAGAAACTGCCTCCATAAGATTGGGCTACAGGCAATCAAGCCTTGGGGGGGGGAGGCATTTATCTTTTCAGTTACTGCTTGATATGGGAGAGTCCAGCCCACGGTGGACCCCAGGCTGGTATTCTTGGATGCTGTAGAAAAGCAGTCTGAGTAGGCTATGAGGAGCAAGTCAGTAACCATGGTCTCTGCATCAGCTCCTGCCTCCTGGTTCCTGCCCAGTTTGAGTTCCTGTTTTGGTTTCCTGTCACGGACTATGATTCAGAATATGTAAGCTAAATAAATCCTGTCCTTCCCAGGTTGCTTTTGATCATGGTGTTTTGTCACAGCAATAGGCATCCAATCTAAAAAAGTTGTTCTGAGTAAAACTTCAAAACCATGCCTGATTTGTCATTGGGACCTTAGGAAAAGGGATAAACATTGTTTCTATGTCCTACTGGGAGGTATTTTTAGCAAGGGGGCTGTTTTCAGAGTTTAGGGAAGGAAGATGGTTTGTCAGCATGTTTTGTAATACCTCTGGAAAAGTAGCAAATTATAATCATAATGGTAGGAGTAGGGTTCTGCTCATTAGCCACACTCTGCAGCTATCAGCCCAGACCAGAGTTTAACCACTCCTTCGGTGCCTGTGGCTCTTTGGAGGCTTACTATGACCTTGGTTTATGCTGTGTCTACATTTCTGGTGACAGGTGTGTCCTGGGGCAACTGAACGACTCTGTGTACATGAGGGACAGGTTATGAAGAAGTGAACAGGAGGAGGAGTTTGCTTAGTGAGGCAAGTCACAGAATTTCCTTAGCCAGCCTGGGTTTGGGGTCAGGCTATTGCCTGACTTGCTCATGCATACACTACTTAAGAGGAAGTGTGGAGAGGAAGGAAGCCCTTATAGCACAGTAGGGTACAGGCCTTGGAGCTTTGAAGAAACTAGCCATAATGCCGTTGTCACCAAAATGATCCTTAGGCACCCCTGGGTGTGTGAAGGGGACAGTTTTTAGTTAGTTGCAAACTGTGTAATTTCTCTCTGTTATGTGGCACTTAACTGGCAAAGGAATTTCCGGAGGTGTCTCCACATCTCCACAGTCCTGGTCCCCAAATTTGGGGGACCACTGTTGGTCATGGGGAATGGGGAATGGCCATGGAGGCCAGCCACTGCATGAAATGCCTCAAGGCTAGACATCAAGGCCCAGTCAACTTTCAGAAGGGAAAGCCCTGCCCCCTTTGTGCTCCTCTCAGGGCCACTCTTGCTAAGCCCCAGAACCATCTCCATGCTCTGTAGGCTGCCAGAACCTGGCCAGGATGAGTCCCTGCAACCTAGGTCCCCTAGCGCCCCCTACAGCTGCGGTGGGTTGGGGGCAGGGATCGGGTTGAGGAGAGGGAGACTAGGCTGTGAGCCACTGCACCACACCCAGGACCCCACCCAGATCACAGGAGCACCCAGCCCCCAGGCCACAAAAACGGGGCGTGGGCCAGGGCCTGAGGCATCCCTGGCCACCACGATTGCTCCGCCTGTGGCCACCAATGTCCCTCCTCTGGCGCCCCTCTCTCCGCCCCTGTCGCCCGCCAGTACCGGACACGCTGCTGCACTTCATCTCTTGGGGCGCTCTTCGCCTTGGCCAACCGTCGCATCCTGTGCAACTCTGGTCAGCGGTCGTTTGGTGTTGAATGTTCCCCACCAAGAGTGCATGGCTGCGGAGCCGAGGCGCAGACCCGGGCCCCGAGGGCTCGCCCTCTGGGAAGCGGTGATGCTGTTGTTGTACCTGGGGGTGCCTACGGGGTACCCCTACAACCTGGACCCAGAGAGCGCGCTGCTGTACCAGGGCCCCTCCGGCACTCTGTTTGGCTATTCGGTGGTGCTGCACAGCCACGGGGAAAAGCGCTGGTGAGTGCGCCCTCCCCAAGAGGCAAGTGGCAGCGCCTCCGCCTCTGGGATTCCTTGTTGAGTCAAACTTTCCGCTCTCCTGGGAGGGCAGAGGAAAGCCTGGTTTCAGCCAGTTGGCTCACTGGAGGGCCTTGGAACTAACTTATCTTAGGATGGCCTCAGGGCGCTCCTAGTACCTGGTCCTGGAGTCCTGAGTCTGGGGTGATGGTGAAGGGCAAAAGACGTGGGCGCCACTTCCCTAGCTGCCCACAGCATAGCTGTGGCAATCGGGACAGGGTGGGTGGGCAGACTGCCTCACATCTGAACGAACTTGCATGGTTCTCGCTTTAGGCTCATCGCGGGGGCGCCCACTGCCAGCTGGCTCTCCAATACTTCAGTGGTCAATCCTGGGGCGATTTATAGATGCAGGATCGGAGAGAATCCAGACCAGACCTGCGAACAGCTCCAGCTGGGTGAGTTGGGTCCTGAACAAGGAGATAATGAACTTTTTCTCCCTATGAGCCTATTGTTGGGCAAATCCTGGAAGACTTCACGATGCCAGTTTCTAGTTTAAAGTGCATGCCTTTCATTTTAACCTCATGGCAGTTTGCTTCTGGTGATATTTGCTTGCAGCTGTTGATCCCAGTATCTACCAGAGCTCTTTCAGGGAAAATTTCTTAGGATGCCTTCTGGCCAGCAAGCTCTTAACCTCCACCATGTGTGAAACCTATTTCAAAACCAGAGGACCCAACCCAGAGAAGGATTTTTAAGAATTGTAGTTGATCTCTGACTTGTCGACTTTGATCTAGAATAAAGGACACATCAGGAATGAAAACTTCGATTGATCCTGTCATTTAGCCCAAGGGATTTTCTTTCTCTTCCTTTTAAAAAAGAAAGTGATACCATTTTCCCATAGAATATATACCATGAAAGAACAGGAGGGGAAAAAACTGGCATGCCTACTGTTAAAATAGTTAATATAGGAGGTCTAGCAGATAATTGTTAATTTTTCTCTCAGATTCTCCTGTTAAGCAGGCCTGTCTTCAGCCCCCATTTCTTATGTCTTTATTTAGGTTTACAGCAACTTGAGAAATGTGTGCTGGTGGGGGAGGGGACAAGTTTCATGTTTCAAAGTCAAAAGCCAATTTGCTGCGCAGAGACACATGGGAAAAGAAAGGGGAACTAATATTAATTTAGATCTATCTTGCTCCCAGTGTTGTTAAGTACTGTTGTGTATATTGCTCAATGTTTTCCCTTCAAAGCAACCCTAGGTTATGACTGTATTGTTTCTGCTTAGCACAGTAGGACTCCACACAGAGAGCTGTGGGTTCCTCCTTGAAAATTACTTACCAAGGCGAGGCTTAGCCTTACACTTTACTTGTACATCTTCAAGTGAAGATAAAACTAAATGGTGTGCTGTCTATAGAGATGTTATATCATCTATGATGATGAATTATATGAATAGGCTTTTTGTACTTGTCTGTAAGTACACCATTTGAGATTACCTTATTTTATCTTTAAATTTTTATAGTCACCCTTGTGTCGTTGTTTGCTTTCTTGTTCTGTTCTGTTTCTTTCTTTTTTTTTTTTTTTTTGTACCCATAAAAATGCAGAGGTTATCGATGCATTGGACTTGCCTGCAACTGACACAAAAGTACAAAGGGTGGGAATGGGAAGACACAAGGGGAGGAGGAGGATGGAGGGGAGAGGCAGAGAAGCAACAAAACGAATTTTATTCAGGAAGAAAAAGCTACTATGAAACTTAATTCTTCCTAAAGGAGAGATGGGCCTCAGAATATCATTAGGCACCCCCTATTTCAAGTAACAGACAGGGATGCATACAAGATTCACAGAGCTGTGTATTTGGAATGGTTTTTGCAAAGTATTTTTATTGCCTGAGTGTGCTGTGCAATGAATGAAGCCTTCATTTGACTGAGGCTTCACAGGCTCTCCGGTCCTGGCATTCTTTCTAGATCCATGACATTATAGCTACTGGTAGCTACATCCTGCCTGGAGGGCACTGAATCTATTTTGGGATGCTTGTATTTAACTGGAAAGATCATGTCATCCTGATATATAAGCTTTTAGATGATGGCAGCTGTCAATTAAAGGGAAACATAAATTCACTGCAGTGCAAAGTGCAGAACTCATCAGAGACATTCAGGCACCATAGATACATAAGGAACATTACGAGTTTGGGGATAGATGAATAAAGGAAAGTACAAGTTTGACAGTTATCAGCTTGATTGGTGGGTAACAGTTAGCAATGCTAAGCCAAAGAGGTATTTTGTACCTTCAAGAATTGACTCAACAACAAAAATACTGAGATGGAAGAGACAAAATTGATTATAAGGTCCTAGTCATTTGATTGGTTACAGTATCAGGTATTGTAACAAAATACTTTTGTAAGGGAATTGGATGAAATTACTTCTCAGGGAACATTCTGAACAATACATTCTCATTTTCTACAGAAAAAAAAAATTTGTTTGTTGTTGTTGTTGTTAAGAACAAATTCAAAAGTAATTTAAAGCTAGAAGGTAAAATACCGATGCTGATGTCCAGAAAGCAAGTTTAAAAATTCATCAATTAAGTAGCAGAAACATTTTAAGACTGTAAGGTTTGTAGACTGTCCACCATTACTTAGGAATACATTTTGAGAGGAAGGAGAAAGCTACCTACACACACACTCTCTCTCTCTCTCTCTCTCTCTCTCTCTCTCTCTCTCTCTCTCTCTCTTCTATATGACTGAACTATTTATAATTTTTAAAATATTTTTATTTGTATTTAACTATATTATATGGTTATATTATAAATCACCACATTTATAATTATATAAATAGTTGTAATTATCCTACCTAGAATGTGAGTGATTATATTATAAAATGTAAAAATACTTAGCCTAGCCAGACATGGTGGCACATGCCTTTAATCCTAACACTCAGGCGGCAGGGGCAGATATATCTCTGTAAGTTCAGGTCCAAGCCAGAGCTACATAGTGAGACCCTGTCTCAAAACCTGCCTCTGCAAAATACTTAATAACTGATACATATCAAATATTTAAAACACTTAAAATATATGTGACATCTGCAATCAAATGTTACCAAAATAAGTAATCAGGGTCAATTAATGAATTAAAAATAAAATGTTAATTATATAAACAAAGTAATATAACAAATTACAATGAAGAAAAATGAAAAAGTTATTGGCCCATCAAAAAAAGCTATAAGATAGAGCTATTTTGGACATCTCAGTAAGTAACCTCTTGCCTCTGGACTAACTTTACTTTTTGTCATGATTCTAATAGTGTGCAGTCTTGTAAAATGGTGTCTATCAGCTGTTTGGTTAAATCCATCATGAGTTGTTTCAAAGTCTCTGTAGTGTGTGAGACTAATGGCTGACAGATAGTCTCCTGTCCTCCTCTCCCACCCTAGAGTAGTCTGTAATGGGTATGCTGAGTTACTGCATTCCATGCTGTATCCACTATAGCTGTAATCAGAGTCAAGCAGGCATACTCATTTATCTAGCATGCTCAGGGGAGATGTTGGCAGTGCCCCTTCCACAGACCAAGTTGGCTGCTGAGGTAACACTAATGGAGTTGCTTATATAGTACTCAGGGTGTTTTCTTCCTGTGTTCTCAGCCTCTTCTGGCACCCTGCCTGCCTCAGAGGTGTCTGTTGTTTTTCACTCCCTTGCTACTTCCTTCCATGAACAAAAAAGTGGTCTCACTTCAGGAGGACCTAGGTCTACATCCACTTGTGGAGACAGTGTCTACGTGGGTCATGGTGATTTCCACATGTCTGTTCTCTTTTCTGTCAGCCACTCTGCATCCTTACTGGGGGTTGTTTGATGAATTTGGTAGTTCCCGAGTCAGGGTGATGAAAAATAGCGACTCAGTTAATACATTTAAGCATGATCCATGTTTATAACACACATAGTCAACAGAGCAGAACACAGTAACAATGCATAAATGATTGTTACATTTATTTGGGTATCCCACCGTGTGTGTGTGTGTGTGTGTGTGTGTGTGAGAGAGAGAGAGAGAGAGAGAGAGAGAGAGAGAGAGAAAGAGAGAGAGAGAGAGAGAGACTTACCTGGTAATAGAATCTAAACGTACACAGTTATGCAGCTCAATGAAGTAGTCACTGGTCACATGTGGCTTTTGAGGACAGGAAATGTGCACAGAGAGAAATTTTATTAAGTAATTTACCTAATAGATATCTAGAAACAGGATAAAACTAAGTTATGATTACCTCATGAAAGAAATTTCTTAAGGTAGTATTGATAGCTTAATAACTCAATTGATTTAACATCCTTTTTACCTTTATAATACGGCAGCCCTTCAGTTAAAAATATCGTGTGAACACACATTACATTTCTATCAGATAACATTAGTGCCCCCCCCACACACACACACTTGCCCCGAAAACTTCCCTTGGGTGGGAGCACTCCTGCGTCTGTGCCTAGATGGGTAGGGCCCTCACTTCCTCTGCAGATGCAGAGCTCTGGCTGCTGGGCTGTTAAGCTTCCTGTCTGGGCTTCTCTTTCTCTTGCTGGAAGACCAAGGGCACATAGCAACTTGGTCACCATTACTGGTTTTGAATATATTTCTGGAAATAATGATGTCTTAGGAAATCTCCTGTTTTGATATTTCATAACCTACTTGGGAACGGGTCAAGTTCCTAAGCAATGCATCATTTCTACCGGCTGACAGGAGTTAGTAATACTAAATTACAAACACTTAACTGTTAAAACTTCATATATATTCTGGGCAATGTTTTGTTGTTGTTGTTTGCAACAAGCCTGAAATTATAGCTTACAAAGCTAAGATTAATACGGATTTGTCATTTTGGAAAATTGTCCTTGAATATAGGCTATTCTGAACACAGAAAATCATAAGATGTCATTAATAAGCTGAGATTAAAAGGTAGAAGCTGGGGTTGGCCAAATGGCTTAGTTGTTGAAGGTGTGTTTCACTCTGGCAAGTTCACTTCTAGCATCCACATCAGGCAGCTTACAATCACCTGTGAATGCCAGATTCATTCAGGGGCATCCAATGTATTTGGTCTCTTGTGTACGTACTCACCAACAGATATACACAGAGAGATATACAGATGGACAAACAGACAGACAGACAGACAGACACACACACACACACAAACACACATGATTAATATTCTACAATATGAGAAGTTTCCTAATCTCCCATACTTGATCTCCCAAAAGGTGAGATGTCCTTCTAATTGGAAAGGTGATTTCTTAAATCCACTTTTGAAAAAAATATGCTTATGTGATTAATATTTCTAGTGGCTAAGATACTTTTCCTTGGCAAGAGACCTCGAGTCAGGTATTATTAGTTGATTGCACATATCACTCATGTATTCATTTAGTCATAAGCTGAGGGATATGCAAGGACCAGACATAAGTACACAAAAACAACACATCCTTTGTACAACAGTTTTCCCACCTGTATGTT